ATGTGAAATCAGGGGTGGAAAGGAGGAGTGTGCTGTCACAGTATAGGGAGAGCAATTAGGGTCACATAACAATGTATGTATAAATTTTTGTATGAGAAACTAACTTGAAATATAAACTTTCACTTAAACTACAACAATAAAAAAATAAAATAAAAAGTGTTCATTCTGGTGGTATATGTTAAATGTAAATCTTCATACCCTTCCATGGTAGACTGCGTTATTGTTCCCACTTCTTTACTCTCTCTTCCTGTAAGCGGATTAGACACTTTCACCTTAAGCACATGCCTTGCAGCGCCTTCCTGTGCTATGCCCAGTGGAAGAGAGTGTGCCAAGTCTGAACACCTTCTTTAATAGCCATTGCATGGTTCAACCATTGCATCCTTTCCCTTTGCCCCAAGAGCAGCATGTTGTGAACAGGGGCTACTCCTTCAGCTTGGATCTGGAAGAAGATAGGTAGACCAGAGCCAGAGCCAACCTAAAGCCATTGCAGCCAAAATGTAACATAAGTGAGAAATAAACCTTAATTTTTGTAAGCCAATGAGATCTGGGAACTATTTGTTACTACAACTTAACCTAGAAAAAGCTAATTAATACAATTCCAATTCCACTAAGTTATAGAGTAACCTGCATTATGGTTCATTATAATGAATGCAATGCAACACTGGGTAAGATAATCACTTTTTCTATGTTTTCATTTCTTCATATACGTATGCTGTGTGCCAGATGGTGTGAGCCTCACATCTCACTTAATTCTCAACCCTAGGTGGTGGGTCTTTTATGCCCATTCTACAGATGTGGAAAAGCTCACAAGGATAGTTTCATCATAGTTCATTATGGCTTGTACCCTTGACCGTCCTAAGTTATACCTCATTATCAGAGCATTTAGCCAGAACTCCCCAAGTATTTTCTTCTTCTGGCTAGGACACACATATATGGAACAAATGGAACAGGAAAAAAAAATATGTATATATTTGTGGCTACAGAACTACCAGTTATTTGTATTTGCGTGTCTCTGTCTCTCTCACGTCTATCATCATCTCTCCAGTCATTTTCATGTCTTTGCTCTCTCCCTTCACCATCATGTGGATTTTCTCAAGCCTGTCCTCATGTCCCTTTGTTTCTTGCTGCTTCTAATGTGGTTTTCACTTCCATAATGGTTTCATTTTCTTAATTTTCTTTCCTTTGCTCTTTCAGCATAACATGTAGTCCCTCCTTAGTCCTCCTTCCTCTACCATTCTACAGGGTTAGATGTGGGTTTGAAGCGGAAGCCTCCTCACTTCTGTGGTTCACCCATACTTCAGGTCTTCATCTCTTAAAAGCCTTTCTGAACCCTCTTGCCAACTATGTAAAATTTGTTCCCTGCTCAAGATGGAAGATATGGGTCAAACTTCTACTGTCCTTTGAAAACCTGGCCCATATTTCATTATATCTGGTAAATAGTTATTTTCTTCTATGATTTGAGGTTGCAGACATGCCCTAGTTCTATTATCGATAGAGTTTGTTTCTCTATGTTTTGGGAGTGGAGAGCAAGTGGTAACTTACGCAAACATACACTACTTCATTCTTGAAAGCAAAGAATATTCTTTACTAAAAATTGTTC